CTGAGCAACTATACTCTATCCAGAGTATAAGGCCTATCGAAACAAGACATAGTGCCATCTGTTTCCAGAATCAAACCTGGGAGAGTGAAAACAACAAGAGGTTGGAACTGCATCCCAATTCGCATTGTTATACAGGTTGATTCACAAGTCGTGACCAAAAATAAAACATTCACAGGACTGCATTTTAAGGGGATCTTCTATGTAACAGTTTTTCCTCCAGGGCTTTATTAAAAGGATATGGGGTGTTGAAGTTTAAAAATAAAAAACAATTTTTTCAATACCTTCAAAACCGTCAACTGGAATAAACTAGAGCTTGGTATGTGGATTCACCTAAGTATTTTCCACATTCAAAAGTCATTACTTAAAATCAACGTGTACCAGTGGCGGAGATACAGGGGATTAGTTGCATTATTTTCTAAATAAAAATAGTACGCCACTGTTTTTTCAAACGCGCAATTTTTCGAAGTTAGCCCTCAATTTGCTACAAATAAAAACGCTTCTGTTTTTTCTCTAGAGCGCATTGTTTTCGTAAAAATAAAAAAAAAACAAATCAGATAATCAAAGCTTTATTTCACTAAATGTTCAAAAAGACCACCATTCTGACGACATCTTCTTGATATAGAAAAAAGTATTTCCGCAAAATTTGTAGTGGCTGGAATTTGATGAAATGCATTATCCATTCTTTCTTGTAACTAATCAACAGTATTAATTTGTTTAGCATAAACTAGTTGCTTAAAAGCGTATGGGTCCGTTTCTGCCTAGCCATCGTTGTCTAAAATAATTATTTAACCATGCGGCTGCGTCATGACGAACATGTGGTGGGGCACCACATTCGTACTCTCGTTGTTAATGGAACATCGTCTAACACATTTTATATGTAATTCTCTAGAAAAACTAAGTATGAGTTTGCATTTAAACGTTATGGCAATACGTGCATAAACAGATGGCTATTGAAAATGCCGCACCAGATATTTCTAGAAAATCTGTCTTGAAACGGGTGGATTCTTACAGGACGGGGATTTCCTAAAGACCAAATATGTTCATTATGAGAATTAAAGGTTCCATTTCCCGTGAAAAGCGATTCATTTGACCACAAAACCATTTGCAGTAACTACTCTAGAAAATTTCGCCGTTGCACTTCGTCGCGGGGTTGCAGACATTGCACATTTTACTGATGGTAATGAAAACTTTCCGATTTAAAATTTTCCACGCAAGACTTTGGAAACATAGTAACTGAGCTGCAACCCACCTAGTATTTGTACTAGGATCATCCAACGTCAAATTAATCACTTTCAGTTCCTCTTGAACAGTATGCCGGACACCATGGCCTCTAACTCCAGGAAGTCTTAGTAATGAACGCGTTAAAACCTCTGGGGTAGGTTGGCGTCTGTTAGGAAATCTACGTTGATCCTCCCGAGAAGCCGCAAGAGCATTTTGATTACAGAACCCGTACCCAAAATAATATCGGCATACTTATATTTGCTAAATACCATTTCACAACACTCAAAAATGGAAACTTTTGACTTGACCGTATAACACATAACTTTGACAAACTATCTCCCAAGAAACGTCAAGTTGGTATCACGGCCTCCTATTTTATTTTGGAACTAATTGTATCTCGGCTCTTCATGAATTAGGTAATTTGTCTTATTTTTATTTTTACGAAAACGGTACAGTCTAGGACAAAAACATAAGAGAAATTATTTGTAGCAAATTGAAGGTAGAATTCGAAAAAATGTACGTGTTGACAAAAAACAGTAACGTACTATTTTCGTTTGGAAAAATAAAGTCACTAGTCCCCTGTATCTTCGTCACTGGTGCACTTTAATTTTAAGTAAAGACTTTTGGATGTGGTAAATCCACATACCAAATTTTAGTTCATTCCCTTTGACAATTTTGCCGATATTAAAAACTTTAACACCCCGTATCTTTATAATGAAGACCTTTAGGAAAAACTGTTAGATAGAAGACCCCCCTTCAAATGCGGTGCTGTGTATGATGTTCCATGTTTGATCACGACTTGTGAATCACCCTGTGTTCTCTGGAAACATGTGAGTTGCTGAGCTGCTCAGCGTTCCAAGCCTAGATCAGACTGAGGAGTTGCTAAATAGCATGAAACAGGTGTCGATAGCTGTCCACCTGTGGTCAGACGAACGAAAGCCGTATTAGTACTAGTATTAGTACTAGTTTGAGCTCCTTATTTCGGCCGATAAATGAAACAACATATGTAGGAATGACACGTTACCTATGTTTCTGCAACTCGGTCGCCTTTTCAAATTACGAGTTGGACGAAAGGTCAGTAAATGTATTTTTATTTATCGCCCAGAAAAACTTGAAGTTTTGACAGCATGGAAACTACAGAATAAACTTCAGATGTTACATTTGGCAGATCTTCATGTGCTTCTGGCCAAATGAAACCATATTTGTAGAAATTACTACTTACTGACAATTGCTCTAAAAAACCGCTGCTGTGGCCAAAGAGATAGTAACAAGAGTATTTTCTTCACAAATAGGGCTTCATTTTGGTGCAAAAGCGTGGAATTCTACCAGTATGAAAACCATATGGTACATTTCAGATGTTATATACGATATTTTGTCTAGAAATCGCAAATATACCTCTAGATACGACATAAGACTGAGAGTCACGAGTGCTATTATCTTAGAGATTATACTCACTTAACGTATTAACATATCGATTAAATAAAAAATGTGTTAAAACTGATGTGTTTTATTCCACTACCTCTGAAGGAGAGATATTTTTCACGCAGGCGGGGGTATGTCATATGTATGTATCTACCTTCAGTGAAGGTTCGGTCGATAGCTGCATTATTCAACATGGGATCTGAAACAATTATTCACAAGAATTGTTGCCAAGTTCGTCACCTGGAAAATGTATTTATCTCGACAGGGTGATTCATAACTACGGGGTGAACCTGACATACATTTTTTTTTAAATAGATAGACCTATGTTTTATTGCAGATTTAGATAGCTCTTTTCAGATGAAGCAATTTGATATGACATACTATAGGGTTTTATTTTCAAAGTATTATTTATCAAAAAAATGCTCAACTTTGACAGCTCGCTTCTCCTTAACTGTGCCAGCTAGAGTTCTAAATTTCTTGACAGAAAAAAATATGATCCCATATTTTTTCCATACTTTTTCAGTTAATAGTCTATATAAGGTGGTCAAGAACGCCAAATGAGCGATTTCTCAAAATTTTCAAATGGAACACACTGCATATTTTCCCATCCTTCATTCCTATTTTTTGAGGGTTTGTATAAACGGTTATTTAGTTGCAACTAACCTTTTTGTGAATCAGATATTAAGGTAAATGAAAAATATTATATTATATTTCAAAATAAAAAATGGTATCTAGCTGGTAATGGCAGATCGTTAGAATTGGTTTGTTTTCATCATGAATTAAGTATACTCATCCTTATGCGATAAAGTCGATGGATGAAGAAGGTGTACCTGCGTTTTTGGCAACTCCAAATTCAATCTCACAATCCATATATCAGATACCAAACAAATCATATATCAGAAAAGAAGAAAGGGAGATCAAATAATGTAGAGTGTGTTCCATTTGAAAATTCTGAAAAAAAGTTCATTTTGCCTTCTTGACCACCCTGTATAAACTGTCCAAAAATTTTAAAAAGTAAGTATACTACTGGAAAATAATGTATCATATTTTTTTGCCACATAGCCCAGTACTAGCTATAATAGTTGCGAAGCTGCGAGTTGTCAAAGGTGAGTGTTTTTTTTGATGGATTGTTCAATACCTCAAAGATTTAACAATCAAATCCTTAAGTATGGTATATGAAATTGCGTTGATTGAATAGGCCTATCAAAGTCTGTATTAAAAGGTAGTGCTTTCCACCTAAGAAGATGTATGTTCTGATCATCATGTAGCTATAAAAACTTATCCAAAATCAAAAACATACTGTTTGTTACAATTTTTGCATTAAGATACTATGCGAAAACACTAAGAACTCACTCTGTATGTATGTACCCAATATATTCTATTTCACAGAATACATGCCAAACGGCTTAATGGATTTTGACTTATGATTTTTGTTGGATTTTGGAATTCTGTCATATGAGGTGTCTCTATATTTCTTTGGATAGCGCAATTGAATCCAGTAAACCAGAGTTCCATTATTATGTCTGGCGTACCAAAGTTTTTATAACGAGTGTGTGTAGAGTATAAAACATCTCGTAAGCACTCTTGAAAATACTACTCGTTAAAGTAATAACTCCTGCAAGTGACTTGGTAGGGAGAATGCAAGATGCTAGTTATTCAAGCCTTTGATTAAATATGGGAAGATGAAAATTATGCTGTTTAGGATATCTTTAATCTTTAATTACGTCAATGTGGAAAACACTATATATTTGAGAATCCTATTGCTATAAAGTGTGCGAACAGACTTACGATTATCCCAACAGTTTTTATAGAAGCCGAACCAACTACGACTATTCTTCTTGGACTGTCTGCAAGAATGTGTAGAAAGAATATGCAGTTTTGACCATCTACAAAATTCATATATTTTACATTTACTCCAAACAAAGAAGCATCTTTGTCTTACCGATACAACAGTTTGCCGGTTGATATCAATGAAGCCTGAAGCAGATAAGCACACTGCTTTTTGACTCCTTTGAATAATCATAAGTAAAGATTTTCTTATGGGAATAATGTTGGGTAAGTACCACTGTGTATGATAGAAGGCAGAATTACCGATCTCAGCACCCTGAAAAGCCAAGATGGGTTTTGGTTTCTTGCGGCATGGTACAGAAATTGTCTAAAGTATTCACCATAATTAAATACTTTGTTTACAAACTACATAGCCCATGATGATTTGAAATATTAAGCCAACTGTCCATTATCGTAACCGAAAATGGTGAAAAAAAATCGCTTAATTACGACGGATGAAGTTATTTGTACACCGTTTGAATGGAACTACTATTATGTTCCTAATTATCTTGTGTTTCCTTTTAGTTGTGTCATAAACATCTTGTAACTACCTCATCCATCAAAGTCTGAGCAGGAACCCCATACAGGAACAAAAATTCTGTTGTTAAAGCACATACCATCGTGCCACACCGTATCAAATCTACCAGCTGTGTGTTGCTGGAAAATGAAATAGTTGTGACAGATCAAGTTTTATTTTATCATAATGTTCACCTTACACTGAACCAAAAGCGAGGTTAATGTTTTACTAATACATAGGTCTTGGAAAAGCTCACTTACGGTTGTGAAAGAACGTACATGTTCATGCAGAGAAGTGCTGTCACTATTGCCATAAGTATGGCAAATAGTTTCGCAAATATATCATCCAGTAACTTGACGTATCTAAAAGTTGAACGTCATATTAGAATTAAGCCATATTATGTGCACCTGTATACTTTAGTGCTGCAGCGATAAATGTAACATACTTTTACTATCCAAAAAATGATTTTCAGTAAGCGAAATATAAAAAAAAAATTATGTACTTTCTTGATGCCATATTCACTTTCACGCGATTCTCCAATTTGTTATATTACCTAAATACCGCTTGAAGGGTTGTAAATCCGATTTTGGACTGCCGGAGGTTAACAGAACTAGAAAAAACCTCCTCCGGCAGAATAAAATAGCCAGTTCTCGATATATGTAGCTCGACAGAGTAGTTAGGATGGGGGCGGAAGCCTGGCGGGTCCGACTGGAAGGCTCAACGCATCGAGTATGGACAAGTTGATGCGGCAGCACCCCAAACGCATAAGAGAGGCTAGATCTTGTCTGGGTTTTGTACAGAGTGAGGGGGCTATGCAGAGGAAAACCACGTCCTTAGAGTTCTCCAACTAGCCGAAATGAATGGTTTTGGTACCTTCGTATTTTGTTTCTGAGCTCATTTCTGGCTGACTGGTGATTAACAATAACAGTACGGAAAATTTGTGAGTACTTCTAGAATATTTGTGCCTTGCTATTCAGTCGGAGTCAAAAACTTACTCAATTAAAAAATCGTGGTATTCCACGTCGCCACTAAGTTCGACCATACAAATTTGCAAGTCTTCTTTATCCTTAATCTTCTCTATATCCAACTGTTTTATTTTGGCGTTCAAGTTACTGAACTGTCCTGCTCCTATCACTATAAGAACTGATATGAAAAGATTGCAGCCGATCACTAGAAGCATAGTAACAACTGTTACATAGAATTCTATCGCGTACGAAACAAACCATGGTATTTGCTGTATTGGGTAGTAATAGTAAATTGTTGTCCCTCTTACTAATAGTGGTTTAAAAAGGAACATGCAGGTACTCAGGCAAATGTAAGTAAGGAATATGTTAGTTGCTTTGTGAAGCAGTCTCAGTAATTCACTGTTTCCGCTACCAGGTATATCGTTCTTCCAAAACTTTTGAGTTTTGGTTATAACTTGTCTAATTTTGTCTCTCTTAGTAATTAATACTACGATCTTCAACCAGATCTGCAAAAAAAAGAGTGACTTATCCTGAACATAACCCCTGAGCAGTTTAATGACTGCTACGAGGAAGTTAAGCAGAGGTTATTTATAGAATGAACCCGGAGCATAAAAAACCTATTTTTACACGGAGCATAAAAAACCTATTTTTACACCAATACAGAACCCTGTGAAATACCCGCTCTGGTCTTGTCAAACACACAGGAAGAGCCATCCAGATACCTCAATTTACCTGAGAAAATACTCCGATAGATTCCATTACCACAAGATCACCAATGAAAAAAGCCCTCATAAGTATCAGAATAGTAACGTATGAAGTAAAAGTTAAGTTAAATATAACCAAAGGCTTATTCATTTTTTTAGATGGATGCATTCCAATAAGATCCCACATCTTAAAAACGTAGTAATACTCTTTTTCGTACATGTTGCAAATAATCTCTTCCTACTGAGTGAACTCATATCTTATATAGTTTTGAGATTGTAAATTATTCATGACAAAAAATATCAAGGGCAATGTAGCTGAATTAGCAAAAATTGAACCAACTTAAAATATGCGGCATTTGAAGCTATTATAGTAGCCAAAGCAATCAAAGTATATTATACATCAATTCATGGGTATATGCGATTCAAAATGGGATCCATATAATAGTATCATTATTGCAAATGCTTCTATTACAAATAAATTCCCTGTTATTTGGGATAATTTGCCAATGAAGTAATTATCATATATTCTTCGCAATATGTATCAAAGAAGAAGTTATTTGTCTTCTTCATTGATCATCTTGCATTTGGTTAGCTTTAGAAAACAATTGAGTATTTTTATCGAGTCGAATTTTATGATAGCCCCACAGGGCGAAAAAGCATACCAGGTGACCCAATAACAAAGTATGCCGGCTATATCTCAGGCTGAATGTAGAGACGTCCGTTAAAAATTTTCATAACACAGGTAGCCAATACCAACTGGTGGAAAATTATTTTCAGCTTCCGAAAATGGCTGCAAGGGGGCGTATTTTTAATGTGAAAAATTTAATTTTTCCATATTTTATTTCGCTTAGGGTGGGGATAGGGTTGGATGTCATTTCAGAAAAAGTAACGACTTCTGTTTGGCTGTACCGATTTTCAGGATCTTCTTTTCGTTTGAAAAACGTCACGCCTCAACACCTACTTAATGTTCAATCTTGTCATCTAAGTCAACTTTGTGGTCACTAGATAGCGTCTTATGGATCTGTCCTGGTTTTTTTGGACTGGTCCGAAAATTTCGAGTACGGTCGTATATCGGAGTGAGCGCAAAAAACCTATAAAATGGCGGAAACCGCGGATCAAAGCTTTATTCTTTATGGAGATATAATCAAAAGTATCCTTAAAATACAATTTTCAAGTACTAGTGGATAAAAAGAAAAGTTCAACCTATGAATAGCTATGTAGCATGCATCTATATTTTTTTATATACATCTAGGCAACCAGGAGCCTGAATGTCAGGTCACCATGGATAGTATGAGGATCCCAAAAAAAAATGTTAATCTGATTTTTGACCTGCCTAAGGTTAGTGGAACTGGGAAAAGCCTCCTCTTGTAGTTTATTCCACAATCTCGACACCCTCGGGATAGAGAAGCGGTCGTATCGGCCAGTTCTGTATGTACGAATTTCGACCGGGTTAGGATGGGAGGCCGAAGTCAGGCGGGTCTGTCTGCGAGGCACATTGCGCGGCGGCATCATGGAGGAGAGCTCTGAGGAGCAAAGCCCGTTGGTGTAGCGGTAGATGAGAGCCAGATCGCCGACCGGTGCGAAAGGGTCCCGAGACTGTCTCTTAGAGAAGATTCTTCGATCAGTCGGACATGCCTCCTCTGGAAAGCATCAAGTATAAATAATGACTGTGAACAAAACTCGAGGCTAGGTTTTATCTGGGCCTTCTATAACAGACGCGAAAGAACTGGAGCAAGCTCAACACAACGGTAGGAATCAAGTGCGGACCAGAAACTCTATTGATGTCGAGCGACAAGAGCACCGTGTTACGGTCTTATGCCTGAATGTTACTTCCCGAATGGTGTAGGGAGTCCTTTGAATCGACGGCACTTGGGCGAATTGGCAGCAAACGTATTGGCAATCACTTCTGCCTTCGACTTTGAGTCGGTTACAATTATTGTTCCATTCTGACACGTAAGTGGTGGACTTGTGCCGCCACCCGCCAATCGGTACTGAGATATTCCTTATCGCCTGTACAATCACATGAACGGAAAGAAGTTGTATACTGAATACAGCAACTTCCGGAACAAGCCCCCCAATGTGACACGATTTCAAGATATTTTACTTTAAAATTTATTTTTACGCTTTTTGTAACCGATAGGGGTCGTAAGTGTTTCCTGATACATGGAAAAATAAATACTTCAAATATACCTGATAATTTAACTCAGTTGGCTTTGGAATTTAAAGAATTCAGGAAATACCGTGCTTTTTAACCATTTGTCTTATTAGTTTTTTAAGGGTGATCCCTTTGTCTAGTGGTCACAAAGTAAAATGATTTGATAATATTAGCAGCGCAGGCGCAAGCTCTGAAACCAAGACCGTGAAAATTGGTGAGGCCAAATAGAAGTTATATTAATTTTCCTGAAATGACATTCAACAATTCCCCCACCCTAAACGAAACAAAAAAATGGGAAAATGGCATTGAGAAAATTCAACAATCAACATAGTAGAGAAATTAGATTAGCACGTCAATTACGCATTTTTGTAAAATAATGCCATTTGAATTTTTGAAATTCAAAGCGCTCCCTATAGCGGCCGTTTTGGAGAGCTGAGAACAGTTTTCAGCAATTTCTTGTGGCCACTTTTGTGACGCATTGCTTTATCGGATGGCTCTAGATTAAGTGGTTGCTGATATATAGCCGGCGTCCTTTATTATTGGGCCACCCGATGGATATACAGGTGATGCTACTGGCTTATATGGGACAATTGCATTTTCGAGGAAAATTTTGGTGAAAAATTGGTTTGAATATCTGAGGTGAAATGAGGGTATTGGAATTTAACATTGAAAAATGTACGTTGTGCATTGAAGGACTAATCTCAACTCACCATTATGTTATTTGAACAATGACCATGATTTGTTCTTACTCCGTCTCATCAGTGACGCAGAAATATATAACACCCTGTACCTTGGAAATTAGACAATTTAAGAACTATGTTTATACGAACTTTCATTGTCATTTTCGGATGTGCTTTCTAGCCTAGAAGTATTACCACGTTTTTTTTAATACCATGTGTATTTATCAAGCTTCGCCTATTCAAATTAGACTCTCACCATTGGGATCTCAGAGAGATACAAAGTCGTTTAAATGTGAGCAAAGTTGCGTATAGAGATAATCAACAAAATGCCACTTACAAAGTTTCCATATTCAATGTACTTCCGGAGGGAGACGAAATAAAAAGAGTTTTCCCAAAATCGTTTTACTTTTGTCCTTAGTTTATTTGTAGTGGTATTTCAAAATAAATTGCACATTGACATTGAAACTTTCTGCCTTCTACAACACTGCATGATTAGATATTTTGTCTCCTGACCCACAGCATAAACTTTTTTTAAGGATGCCAAATTTGATTTTTGTGCAGTTGTTAAGAGTTTTTTATTCTGATTTCAAAAATACCTCATACATTGACGTTGCCAAACCTTAGTTATTCCAGAAAGACAAAAATGCCCAGGTATGTCTTGAAATTATCAGACTTCATTTGTTTTGTATACCAGACCAGATCTCAAATTGAGTATAGCAACAGAGTTTGGAAAACTGGGCAGAAGAAGAACAAATCGAGCAGTGAGAAATGTACAGACAAGAGTCAGGCCTTGCGGACAACATTTTGGACATTTGCTATGATTTACCTGTACTTACTGATGATAGTTATTTTTATTGCCATCAATATAATTTTCATTTAGTGTTCAGGTTTCACCATACCTCTTTATTTCCTTATAATTTTCGTCCAACAACAAATTTATGGCCAAATGAGGAAATGCATAACTGAATCTACGACAGAAAGGTCCATTTAAATGTACATAGTTCCAATGTAGCCTCCATAGTAAAAAACCAAGTTGGTGATGGTAGTCGAAAGAAGAAACCACAAGTTATAAATTTGTTAACAGCATATTGTAGAGGAGAAAAAGTGGCAATGACAACATGCAATAAAAGTTACTTTGGGATAAATCTAGTATGCGAAACAACTGTCTATCCGATAATAACTAAGAAAATTCTGCTTTTTTTGAAATAACTAAGATTTGACGATATCAATCTATGACGTGCTATACATTAAAAGCTCGATGCATCTATGCAAAAATCCAGTATAGCCTCTATGAGAAAAAGTAAAGTTCATGCTGGAGGACAAGAGGCGGAACGTTATATTGAAATTATATAATAAATATTCAGGCAGCAGCGGTGGCCGCAGTAGTAGACTCTTCGGTCTCCTGATCAGTCGCCGTGCGCTGTGCGGGTTCGAGTCCCGTTCCAGGAGAAATTTTTCTTTTGACTATGGATGTTGTGATTGTCCGTAGGTGGTAGATGGTCTCTGACTGTCGAACGTGGAGGTACCACCCGGCGGATCTCGTAGGCGGAGCCAGAATGTGTGCATGTTGCATGCACACGTGTTCCCTCGCCAGAGTCCGTGTGACGTCCCCCCTTTCCCCTGTATCCCCCTATATCCCCACGGTACCCAATGGGTGTTTAGGCCTTAGGCCTTCGTGGTAGTTGGAATATAAAAAAAATAATTATGCCTTCTTGTAGGGGGAAAAGTGACAATGCTAATGTGGAATTTATTTACATATTTACAAATCGTCTTTCCTCTTTCTCCGGAAGTACTTTGAATTTTGAAACTTTCTAAGCGACATTTTCTTGATTATCTAAATACGCGACTTTGCTGCCATTTAAGCGACTTCGTATCTCTTAGGGTTTACGAGATCCCAATGGTGAGAAAGCTGAAATCCGTCATTCCCTGAAATGCCTAGTCAGTCCCCGTATTGCCGGCAAACACCGTAACAGTTTGATTATCACAACGTTTGACTAAGCATTTCAGTTATTTCCTGTAATGACTGAACAAGTTCAGTAAAACATCGCAACAACTACATTAACTTCGTTACTCCGTTTGCCTGATTCAGTCATCCGTTGTACCAGTTTTGTGTTCAGTTGCTTGAGTATACACGTCGTCTTTTTTGTGTTTGTAAAGATGTCGCAGCATTTCGAATTGTTTTACAAGAAACTATGACAGTGTGAATAAGAAAAAACCATG